CGTGTACCCTCCTCACATCAAGTCAGCAGAACCGCCCGGCACACTCCAGACGTGGTTCTTCAGTGCAGCAATTTCCAAACTTGCCAGATTTTCAAGACTCATTGGAAGGCACTTGTTAGAAATACCGGTATCCAGATCTTAATCCAGACTCTGTGAATAAGAATCTTCATGGGAGGGGCCTGGGATTTGTATCTTTACAAATTCCTCAGGTAGTTTTTAAAAATTGGGCACATTTAGAAAACACTGCTTTAGTGCAGCAAAAACTGCTTAACTACAGGTGATGAGAATGATAAGGGCACAGACTCTAGGTGGGCAATGGCAGAAAGGTGAAATAACAAATTTAGTTACGTGGGGTAACTGAATTCCTCTGTCTGGTCTTGCTCTCTGGCTAAGGGATTCATCGATAGATATCTGGTGGAGTTCCCTCGGTGTGTAGTGCCCACCGATTTGTGTGCTAGTTCTCTCTTCAGGCCGGCCCGGTATTGTCTTCCTGGCTACCTTTGAGGTCTAGCTGTCAAGTTTCAGGAAACTTTTGGTTCACTAAATTTCTCTCCCTGGGCTTTTCAGCTCTTGCTGATGTAAAGACCTCTTTTTCTCCCATTTCCACTTTTCCACCCAAGAACTCATGTCTCTTTGATTTATTGTTCTCTTGTGACCCCCATCTTATTAATTCATGCAGTCACTCATTCAGCAAGTGTCTGTTGTGCCAGGCTGTGGGCGAGCTACAGAGATGAACAAGACACAATCCCTGCCCTCAAGTGTACAGTCTAGTAAGGACACAGATGTTTAAACAAGTAATTAAAATACCAGTGATGTGCTAAGCAGCATCTATGTGCAGAGTTCTAGGGGCACTGGGAGGAGGTGACTGACAAGTGGTGGCAGGCGTCACAGAGGAGGTGACTTTTGAGCAGGGTCTGGTGGTCAGAGAAAAGGGGGAGGGCATTTCTAAGTTATTACGTGGCTCATCACCGTAGGCCTCACATTCTCATTGCAGTTCATTTTCTCCTAGGTCTCCTTAACGTTTATGGATCTAATGGAGCTAATTGGCATGGCTGATGAATTAGACTCTCTTGATTGACTTTTTTCAAACCCTGAGATGGTTAGTAGTTGATTAATGTCCAAGATACCAAGACTAACAGTTTGTCCTCCCACGATCAGTGACTGACAGTGAAGGATTGAGACTCTAAGCACTGAGGAAAGCTTTTAAAGGCCTTTCACTTTATCAGATGTGTTCTGAGCCAGCAGAAGTGACCTTTGTCCTTCAGGGAGAATGTGTGTGTGTGTGTGTGTGTGTGTGTCTTGGAGGTAGGGGAGTTTGGGAGCAGAGAATGAGACAGGAGAATGCTTCATTGTTTCTTTTGCAATAAAAGACACATTTCCTGTGTAGGCATTGTTGGAGATGACCTAAAACTCTTCAGTTTGCTAATTTGGCAAGCTTTGGATTTTATTTCCAAAAAATACACTGTTTCTCTTATTTCACTAGAGAAACAGAGATGCAAGACCATTGTAATTAAATTTGTATAGTTTAATAAGTGGTCATGATTGCAGTTTTAAAATATTGATCGTTTCTTGAAATAATGGATGTCCATTGTGGAAAAATTAGAAAATACAGGCAAGCAAAAAGGAAAAAAAGCTAAAACCAATTCATAATCTTGCAAGCCATAGCTAACCACTGTTACTATTTTAGTGTAGAAAAATCCAGGTTTTTTCCTATGCATACGTATATGTGTTAAGATATTATCATTCCAGGGGGGCTGGCCCCGCGGCTTAGCGGTTAAGTGTGCGCGCTCTGCTACTGGCGGCCCGGGTTCGGACCCTGGGCGCGCACCGCTTGTCGAGGTGGCGTCCCACATACAGCAACTAGAAGGATGTGCAGCTGTGACATACAACTATCTACTGGGGCTTTGGGGAGAAAAAGGGGAAAAAAGGAAGAGGATTGGCAATAGATGTTAGCTCAGGGCCAGTCTTCCTCAGCAAAAAGAGGAGGATTGGAATGGATGTTAGCTCAGGGCTGATCTTCCTCACACACACACACACAAAAAAAGATACTGTTATTCCAGAAATTGAATATACTGTGTAAACTGTTTAGTATCGTGCATTTTTCCTGTTATTTACTGTTTTCCTGTTATATACTGTGACCATCTTATCATGTTAACAAATATATATTTATAGAACCACTCATTCTTAATGAAAACAATCTTTATTTTTGAGATTAGACAAATCATTCAGGCTTGTTTTTTTAAATCAAACTCTGTTAAAGTGTATAAAACAAGTGAAAATTCCCCCCATACTTCTGTTCCCCCAAGGATAAACATTAATTTAGTATATATACATACAGCCTTCCAGACTATTTCCCACATATATGCAAACATATCTATTACTATTTTTTACACAGTTAGCTCCTATTATAGCTACTGGTATGCACCTTGCCTTTTACCATTAATATATTTTAGACATCTTCCTGTGCCAATACGTTTGGAATACCCACGTATTGTTAGGTAGATCAAAGTTTCTCATCCTCAACACTCTTGGCATCCCCAACCCACTATTGGGTTGGATAGTTCTTTGTTGTGGGACTGTCCTGTGCATTGCAAGAGGCTTAGCAGCATCCCTGGCCTCTGTCCCTTAGATGCCAGTAGTGCCCCTTCCTCCAGTTGTGACAGAAATGTCTCCAGACATTGTCCGTTATCCCCTGGGGGGCAAAATCACTCCTAGTTGAGAGCCACTGATATAGAGGGTCTATAATGTAAGCATCTAGAGTCCTTCCAGTCTTTTCATTACAAAGAATGGGTCAGGGAATATTCTTATATTGATTTTTGTGCACCTGTGTGAATATTTTCACTGAATAAATTCCTAGAAGTGCAGTTGGTGGATCAAAACTTTGATAGAAATTGCCAAATTACTGCAAAGAGCTTGTATCAATTTATTTTTCAACTATATCCTGATGATTCCAAATCTGTATCTCTTTCCTGAGTTCTAGAGCCATATACCCAACTGTTGATTGGACATCTGTCTGTCTCATGGGCCTTTCCTAAGCTCAATTCTCATCTTCAACCCACCAAACACTCACTTCTTGCTGTATTTTTCTGTCAAAGAATGTCACCCACCATCTGCCTGGTTGCTCAAGCCAGAAATCTTCTACCATACATCTAACCAGTCGTCAAATCCTATCCAGTCTTCCTCCCTAATGTCTCTTTCAATCTATTCACTTCTTTTTTTTTTTTTTTTAAAGATTTTATTTATTTATTTTTCCCCCCCAACACCACAGTAGATAGTTGTATGTCATAGCTGCACATCCTTCTAGTTGCTGTATGTGGGACGCGGCCTCAGCATGGCCAGAGAAGCGGTGCGTTGGTGCGTGCCCGGGATCCGAACCCGGGCCGCCAGTAGTGGAGCGCGCGCACTTAACCACTAAGCCACGGGGCCAGCCCTATTCACTTCTTTTTATTCCTTCTACCGCTTTTTTTTTTTTTGTGAGGAAGATCAACCCTGAGCTAACATCCATGCTAATCCTCCTCTTTTTGCTGAGGAAGACCGGCTCTGAGCTAACATCTGTTGCCAGTCCTCTTTTTGCTGAGGAAGACTGGCCCTGGGCTAACATCTGTGCCCATCTTCCTCCACTTTTTATATGGGACGCTGCCACAGCATGGCCTGACAAGCGGTGCATTGGTGCACGCCCGTGATCCGAACCCGGGCCACCAGCAGCGGAGCGCGCACACTCAACCGCTATGCCACGGGGCCAGCCCCTACCACTATCTTTAATTTAAGCTACTACTAACTTGCCCAGATCACTGTAGTAGCACTGGGGCAACAACCAATATCTACCCTTGGTCCTGTTCTCAGGAAGAGAGAACTTTTATACTCTGCGATCTGCAAGTGTTACTCGCTTGCTTAAGCCCTTCAGTGAGCTCTGCTACCTCTGCACCATGTACTCCATCAGTCAGATGCTGAGGCCAACAGCAACTGACATTCATCACCCTTGATTTCAAATCTGTGTGTCCATCCAAATATACTTTTTCCTCCAAATTGACTATATACTAAGTAAATGTTGTAAGTCTGAATATATAAATTCCTTTTTATTCTAGATTTTGACTTGCAAATAAAGATTTCTGTGAATTAAAAAAAAAAATTCTCTTTTGGAAAACAGTGCTCTATCGTGTCACCTTACCACATATGTTTATTCGCCGGGCTTTGAATTACTCATTTTCCCTTGACTGTCCCCTTGTTCTCCTGCATTTCCTGTTCCTTTCAACTCTGCTCTCTATCCATCCATTTGCTGCCCTTTCTTTGGTACCTAGCATATTGCTTTACACTTGGACCACATGTTTTCTCCTCTCTTAATCAATTTACCCTTATTGCATTTATTGTATATGTACTTTTTGTGTGCTTCATGTATACTTTCTTATTTAACCTTGTGAAAAAGACATATGTGTATATAAATATTACAAGCCAGTGAACTGAGGGGAGATGGTGTGGGAATTCCTGCCCCGGGTTCCAGCATAGATACTAGGGTGCAGAAGAGCCTTTCAAATATCGCATCCCAGTGCCTGAACCTTGACGTCGCCCCTTAACTAGATTTTTGATTTTATGTGGTTCTGTACAGCAGTGTAATTGAATACCTCCCAAATCAATTGCATTCACTTGGTGAAACTGAAACTTTGGAGAGATCATTTGTCTGCCAGCCCTGCAGCATTCCATTTTGGTGTATCTTAAATACCAAGGCAACGAGGGGTGCCTCGAACGCGGGAATCTCTGACAGGGTATGCAGCATATTGCTGTGCTAGACTGGTGTAGGGACAAGCCCTACAATTTTCCACAAGAAGTCAGCTCCAAGCCTGTGGGAAATCACACATGGCAAAATCCTTGGCAAAGGACTATACATTTTTTCCTACTCTCCATGTGGTAATTTTGTAACACTCTATAATTAATTTTTTTTTTTACAGTGAACAACCGCAGAGTAAGAATAATGCGTAACCTATTTCTGTTTCTTGCTATTTTAGGGGACATCACACAGAAGGGATATGAAAAGAAAAGGTCAAAACTCCTGTCTCCCTACATCCCGCAGACACAAGGTAGGCAATGAGAAGTGGTTTAAACCTTTTCAGTATTTTTACACCAAAAAATGTTATCGTGTAGGAGATCTGTCTTTTCTTGGTTCCTGTTTTTTCCCTCCCTTCCTCACCAGGGGAGAGAAAAAAACGGAAGGAAAGAAAGGAGGAAATGAATCTTAATTGAGCATCTGCTATGTGTTAGGCACTTTTAAAATACCCAAGGTCATCAAATCATTTACACAGACCTTGGGTGATACTGGGTCTGTGCTTGTCGACATGATTCAATGGCAGAAAATTCCAGGTCATGGAAAAACTGCATCTTATTTATGCCTGAGCGTGAACTGTGATGGAGAGGAGCAGGGGGAGCAAAGATAAGAAGGAAGGACAGATTCAGTGTTGCAAGGCAGCTCAAGGATTGTAGTGCCTGAGGATTTCGGGGTAAGAACCCTAAGTAAACTTTTAAATTAATTCACAGCCTGACTTATTCCTTCTGCAAAGAGACTGGTGTGTTCTTTATATATCAGAAAGTCCTGAGTCACTTTTGTGCTTAATTCCAGAGGGGTTGTTGTAAGCTTTGCCTCTAGACAAGGCTGTCTGTCTCTAAGTCATCATATTTTTTAAGTTACTCAGATTCCAGGATTTCCTTTGATAGCCTGTTTCTGCTTTAATCACTTTTACTAATAGGAATTTTTTCTTTATTTCTAATTTCCCCTCTGCAATCCAAGTTTGTTTCCACAAGCCTGTTCTTTGTGCAACTAATTGCTTTTACTTCTGCATTATAAATACCTTTCGGACTTTGTATCCCTCATGGTTTTAATATCAAGCCTTGCACAGGGTGTATAGTCTGTAGATATTTGTTGAATGAATAATGGAATAAATAAATGAATAATGGTGGTATATCAATATATTTCACCGAGGACCTTGTTATAGTTCCTGCATTATTCTTGGAAATTCCTTCTTACAAAAACTAGTAGGTCACTGCAGTGGCAGCCAATTTAAAATATCTTAATGAATAGATGGCTGTAGAAACGAATTGAGAGAGAAGAGATAGAAATTGGGCAAGTGACAGCTAATGAAAAGCCAGCTTTTGCTGAGCAAGGCATGCCAGAGAAGCAGAGTACTCTGATTGGCTGCCCAATTGTGGATCTGGCTCATGCCTGTGAAGGCCCAAAGGTTTACTTGAGTCATTTTGTGCAAAAGCAAGCAGATTCTGAGAAAATAACTTAGTAAGAAATATAACTAAAAAGGATCATGATCTGTCTGTTATCTGTAGTCAGGCTACATAGAAACCAAATCATGTTCAAAAACCAGTTTATCAATTTACTATGAGAAACCACTGAGACGTACTCAAGTCTGTGTGGTCAGCACATTCTTGCCCCATGGGCAGGCCTACATGGGGAGTCAAATCACAAATAGAGGGTTGCTTAGTGAGTATGGATTTGACGAATCAGACGTTTAATTGCAGTAGGCCAAGAGAATGTGACATAGTTGTCTCACAGTGGGGATGGTCTTGCAGATGACCTCATGGGGGAAATAGAAGCCATTTGATGGTAGCTCCTTCAGCTTCCTGCTACCAGACTTCAAACTTGCCACATCTATGCCTGTCACGTTTACCTCTTTCCTTCTGGTTAAAAAGGTGATCTGTCCCTCTTATCCAAGGACAGTCCTTCCACCTGTGCTTTGGATCCCGTCCTCTCCTCCCTTTTCAGAAACTTTATACTATTGTCAGTCACATTGAGGACAAGGCAGTGGGAGTGGGCCACCCCCGGTTCAGGCAATAAGGGGTGCAGTGTCTGTAGAAAATTAAAAACAATAATAAAACCAACAAAACATTAGTCTGCTTTTTATTGTCACCATGTGTAGCAGTTCTAAACCCTGTAAGGAATAAAATGCTCCTCCTGCTGATGCAGACAGCTGCATTGCCCCCTGGGTATGCCATTGCTGTCAGTACCCCGTCTCTCTTGTACAGTCACACTCTCCCTCTCAACCAGATTCTTCCCCTCAGCAGTTCATCATGCTCATTACTGTTCTGTTAAAAAAATCCTCTCTTGTCACCCGCTCCCCTCTCTACTTTCTCCATCTCCCCTTTATGATCAAACTGCTCAGAACTGTCTGCACTTAGTCCTATTTTCTCATCTCCCGCTCGCTTCTCAGCCTTTCCAGTCCCTTCTGGAGCTATCATAAGTGATATCTCAGTAATATTTACCACTCTACCTCTTGAAACACTCTCCTCCTTTTCTTACTCTCCTCTTCATGTTGCTCCTACTCATCCTTGCAGGCTCATCCTCCTCTGTTAAATGTTGGAATTCTCAAGGCAAGGCCCCAAGCCCTGTTGACAGCTCACTGTGTATCAGTGGTTCTCAAATTTTAGCCTGCTTCAGAATCACTGGAGGGCTTGTTAATACACAGATTGCAGGACCCCATCCTCAGGGTTTCTGATTCATTAGGTCCAGGATGAGCCCGAGAATTTGCATTTCTCTCAAGTTCTCAGGTGATGCTGAGGTTGCTTATTCTGGGACCACACTTTGAGAACCAATGCTCTGTCTCTCTAGAGTATTTAAGCCATACCTGTGGCTTTAATTATCTTTTAAGTACAGGTAATTTGAGCCAGCCCTGGTAGCCTAGTGGTTAAGTTCGGCATGCTCTGCTTTGGTGGCCTGGATTCGGTTCCCAGGCACGGACCTACACCGCTGGTCTGTCAGTGGCCATGTTGTGTGGTGGCTCACATAAAAAATAGAGGAAGATTGGCAACACATGTTAGCTCAGGACAAATCTTCCTCAGCAAAAATAAATAAATAAATACGGGTAATTCCCAAATATGTATCTTCAACTCAGATCTCTCTTGAGTTCCTGATCCATAGATGCAGCTGCATATTTAACATCTCCATTTATATATCTTAAAGGAACCTCCATTTCAACATATCCAAACATGTCCATTAAATTTAACACTCCACACACCATCCCTACCACCAGCACCAACCCCTCCCTACACATACACACACACAAAACAAAAAACTAACTGAAATGACATCCAACCTGCTCCTATGCTCCTCTTCTAGCTTTCCCCTTCTGAGTAAACAGAACTCATATCCATAAGCTCAACAAGTTAGCGACTTAAAGTCATCCTTCAGTCTCCTTCATTTCCTGTCTCTTATCTGTTACCAAGTTCTATCAGTTTTCTGTTTCTTCATGAGCCAGTTTTGGTAAGTTTAATTTTTCTAGGAAATTGTCTGTTTTGTATAAGTTTTCAAATTTATCGTTTTTGTTATTCATAATATTATCATTATTTTTTAAAGCCTTTGCTTTATTTATATTGTTTACTTGTATCTCTTATCTTTTTTCTCTTGATCAGTCTTCCAGAAGTTTATCTTTTCAAAGAACAAGGTTTTGATTTTATTGATCTTTTTGTTAGTATATTTTTATTTTCTGATTTATCATTTTTAGCTCCTATGCATATTTCTTCCTTTGTACTCTTTTTGTTTACTATTTTGTACTTTTTCTTAGTTTCTTGAGTTGTATGCTTAGATTTTCTGTCTTCTTTCTGAGGTAAGTGTTTCTTAATTTCCCTGTGGTCCGAGCACATGCCTGTGCAAAATCAAGTCTTTGTTATTTGTTAAGACACACCTAGTGTTTGGTAAATTTCTGTAACTCATCTATTTGTGTTGTATTTGTTGAGTGGATGGTTCTGGTCCATTAATTCACCGTAGTCAATTGTATTGTTTAGATCTTTTCTGTTCTTACTGACTTGTTGACTGTTTGATCTATCAATTCTGATAGAAGTGTGTTGAAAAATCTGTACCATGACTGTGGGTTTGTCAGTTTTCTTTGTAGTTCTGTCAAGTTTGCTTTATATGTTTTAAAGCTATGTTACTAGGTACACACAAATTAAGAATTATTATGTCTTTCTTTGCAAATTGTTCCTTTTATCATGAGTAACTGTCTTTGTCCCTGTAGTGTTTTTTTATCCTAAGGCTTTTTTTCTTTTTATCTAAATTGTCTAGAGCTATTAGACATCTTAATCCTCCTCCCGACAAAGACTTTAAAAATACTTTAATGTTCACCACCACTACTCCTTGTCTTACGTTTTAGTACCACCTTGTTTACATACCCCCTCAATTATCAAGTATTATTATTATTTTATGTAGTTAACAGTCATTAATATTCGTTTCTTTGTTAACTGTTCCTTTGTAAATCTCACTGCCTTCTCTCAGTTCAATTTCCTTCTTCCTAAAGTCCATGCTATAGTAGTTACATATTTTAGTGAGTGCTTCTTAGTGGCGAATGCTCTCAATTCATGTTTATCCCTTTCTTTGCCCACCTTTGTTCTTGAGTCTATTCATATTTTTCCCAGAAACGGATTGTTTGTAGGGCTGGGTAATCTATATTATGTGGGTTCTGAGTACAGGAAGAGATTACCCCTTGGCATATTTACCCCATATATCTCTGTAGATTTTTTTTTTTTTTAAAGATTTTATTTATTCATTTTTTTCCCCCCAAAGCCCCAGCAGATAGTTGTATGTCATAGGTTCACATCCTTCTAGTTGCTGTACGTGGGACTCGGCCTCGCGCTGGACGGAGAAGTGGTGCCTTGGGGCGCGCCCCGGATCCGAACCCGGGCCGCCAGCATCAGAGCGTGCGCACTTAACCGCTAAGCCACGGAGCCGGCCCATCTCTGTAGATTTTGAAGAAGGCATTTAGTTTGATTTTTTTTTTTAATGACATTGGAATGCAAATTTTAAACTTATAACTTATATTAATTTCTGATATAGGGTTAAATGAAATAAAAGTCATTTTAACACTTTGGTAGGAGTTTTCTACTTCTTACTTCTAGAGGGATTCAACCTCTTCCAACTCTATTACCTTGTTAGAGTTCATTCACTCCAATTGTGAGAGGCTTCATTGTGAGGAGGGCTACTTGAGTGTAATGTATAACATTCTCCACTAATCTCTTCTGAAATAAAAAATTAATACTGCCTGCAACATTGTATTACTAGAACAATTATGTGCAGATGCTTACCTAA